CTTTTTAAAAAAAACAAAGCATCTCGCGACGAGTCATTGCACTATAATAAAACGTGTTTAATCTCTCCTCTTATCATCGAAATAATAAATGTAATGAAATTTTGGTGTCTCAGAAATGCCAATGTTATTTTTGATATTCGCCATCGTCTCGCCTTACGAGCGTCGGCGACGCTTCGCGAAATCCATCGTGAATTTGCCGATAGCGTGTCCCAGAAATACGAAAATCAAGTCTCGTCGTGCAGCTTGATTTCGATCGCAGGTAGACACACACAGGATGTGACAAGCACGAGAGCTGGGGGTATGTACAGCCAATCAGTGGTTTTTCCTAGACTGGCTGTCATTCAGTCAGCCAAGTGGAAGGACAGGAACGGCTTGTGGTTCGGCTTTCGCATTATTCATTATGCAGCTCACAACACGCCGTCACCTGCCACCGCAGTCCTGCATACACAGCCAGGTTCGGGATTGACCACACACGCGTACTAACGTGTACATATAAACGCGAGCAAAGATGTGTGTGTGTGTGTGTGTATGCGTATTTAACAATAAGCCTAAATCATAAAAATCCTGCGTCTTCGCGTAGCAATGTTAACAAGTTGCAACAATAATCTCGATACTTTGTCAAATTTTGAACTATATAACATCAACGCATTCGATTTCTGATTGTTACATTGTTAGGTCCGTTGATATAAAACGCTTATATCGTCCATTGTAAAACATTGTTATATCATCGATAAAATATGAAAATCTTTTGTCTTTGGGAATTGACTCTCCCATTATCAGAATTACACAGAAATCGTATTAATTTGAAAAGACTAAAAATATTTCTCTTTCGCATGTGTACGCGTTTTAATGAAAAAGCAGTAAATAAAATATTAATGATTTTATTTTTTCCAAAAAGGTCACGTTAGGATCAAAATAAAATGTAGCAGGGAATATATATCACGTATTGCGATTTCGTGTCTAATGGAATGGCATCTATTGACGTCTTTCAATCTTATTTTTTCCCCAAGGTAAAAAGACTAAAAAGAGAGATGCGAATCGCACGAATTTAATGCACGCGACAAAGGATCGCAGTTACGATGTATGTACAGAAATGACTCGGACCAGAAACGCGGCTCTGTTGACTGACAGCACCCCATCCGTATACAGGCAATATGTTTATACTAGACTGATAATGAATTCATGCTGTGCGTAGGGCAAGCTACTTGTGAACAGGTTGCAGGAGCATTACGGATCGGTTCGCACAGATGCTCTTTTGTCGGCAGATGAGTGAGAGCCCAAGGGATAACGCTGGATGATATCAGATCTGTCGGATCGATATAAGAATCGGGGGAATCGGGGGTAAAATACACTTACACACGCGCACACACGTATACGTAGTAAGGTATTGCGTGAGTGTGATACGCAGCCGGGGAAATCCCACGGGTCCCAATGGGAAACCATCCACGGGGCTTAATGACAATTCTGGCTATTCTATATCGCTCAAACGCTCGTTTGCGCTCGTTTGTATGTACGATCATTGATGCTTAAGCATGTATATCCACGAAATAGCGATGTTGATAGTCGAAGTGGTCGAAGTTAAGGGAGCGATCGTGAAAATGCGCGTAAAACAATAGAAAAATTTCGATAAATGGGTGTATAATCGCTTCGTAATGAAATTTCTCTTTCGCGGCCGATGATTTACGATCCTCGGTCGAGAATAGACACGCTAAATAGAATGTAAACGAAGCATACAGATTTCAGAGAAAATCCGCGGGGAAGCGAAGACGCGGGGCGCCAAATGAGAGGATAAAAATAAATAAAAGAAAATTAAAGAATATGTTTGCCTATATGTAATGAAGTAATAGCCTGAATTTGACTTGCTTGAGGGATAAAAGATTATTTTAAATAATGTTGATGATTTTGTTATTAATTTTTTTTGTAGAAATGTCCAATAATACATAGATTATATAGTGCACGTGAGAAAAATAAAAATATATTCTCAACATCTATCTTAAGAAATATAGATGAATGCCTTCCTAATCGGAACTCGTTAAAAAGGCGGTTTTGGCAAATTACGCTTTAGAAATGAGGACAGTTAAGACGCAAGTGATAGGAAAAAAACTCGACACGGGAAATCATGTACACAGCGTGTTATCTATCGGGAAAATTTGTGATTTACCAGTTTAACCGTAGTTCCAGATAAAATTTCGTAAAATCGATAGTAGCATGCCGAGGATAACGAGGAAAGAATTTTGATATATCCGGACGTAGGTAACGTCACAACAATGGTCATGTATCGACTTGAGTTTCGGTTTCTTACGAAATATGAATTCAACACTCTATAGATGAGAACGGTCACGATACATTTAACAAAAACAATGTAACATATAAGGATATAAGTAAGAAAGTGATGTATTTCGAGAAAGTAATAATATAAATATTTTTAATTTTAATATATATTATTACTTATTAATATTAATATTTTTTCGAAATATATCACTTTCTTACTTATATCTTACATCGTTTTTATTAAATATTTTGTTATAAAAATACTTTATTATATGGAGGGGTAAAAACCATAGTGGTGTAAGTCAAATTTTTTTTAAATATTTTCTCGTGTGCACAGATGCAATTGATATATTGTACGGATTGCATCTATATGCATACGAGAAAATATTTTAAAAATTTTAACTTACCCCCCCCCCCCCCTCACTGTGTTCTTACACTTCTTACCCCTCCATATATATATTAGTATTTTTTCGAAATACGTTCTCAAATATTAATTTCCGATATAAAGATTTATCAAGTGCTACTTATTTATTCAGATGTAAAATTACCATAAAATATTATTTCTGATAACAGGAATGTAAAAAATAATATCGTCGAGAGGCGAACGACGGTGATAAAAACAGAAATATATGTACATACATGACGACGATCCTGCATACGTCCAGATGTCCCTTTCGTTGCACTCGGACGAGAAAACGCGGCTTCAAACTGCGATTCCCAATAGCTCTCCCGGAGGCATACCTGCAAGTTAACCGCCATTTACTACAATCACGATCATATCATATTCGTATCATACAATAATCGCGTAATGTCTACGCGCTACGTACGTTTGATACGACAATTATCACAAATATACGACTTATGCGCCACTTCTCTCGTGATCAAGAGACACGGTAGTGTCTCGCGCCAAGTACACGCGAAGCGAGACCGCAAAGTGACTCTTTTACGCGACGCGACGGGTTGCGAGTACTCAAGATATTGAGATCTCGATAACGAGTGAACGGATCAAGTAATTATTAACGCGCGAGATTTATTCTAATACGACAGCAACGATCACGGAGAGACACGGAGCGATTCAAACGCGATACCCCCGCGTAAATTAATTATCGTCACGAACGCCGTAACCGTCCGCGGTTCGAGTCGCTGTCGAAAAGATGCTTGCGATTCTCGAATTAAGTATCGACGACCGAGCGCCGCCGCCGTCGCGCGCGGCGCAAACTTCACGCGGTACGCTACTCAACGTAGAAATAAGAAATGTAATTGATCAAATTAAATGTTTCAGCAAATATCACATGAGGCCGAAACAGCGAATTAGGTATACAATGGCCGGTATTCATAGTCAGATCTTAAATAGAAAAAGAAGAAATAAACGGAGAAATATATGTAGTATAAATACCTGGCAACGATCGCGCAACCGTCGCATTTCCGATATTCAGTTTCAGCGAGAAAATGGTGTGACGTTCCGAGCAGAGGCACGCCGGCACGCGAAGAGAACTTCAATGGACTTCATGCGCGCCGATCGGATCGCTGATACCGGAGTCGATGCAACGGCGATTACATTCGCACGATTGCGACCCAGCGTCCATCAATGCTTTACGAGAGATCGTGAGTTCACGCGCGATACCTATTCACTTGCGACGGAGCGATTCGAATGCGATTCCGCGATCGTCGCGACGCGTCTCGTAATCGACCATAATTTCAGATTTATTATGGAGCTTTTTCATGAATCTCGGAGCAACGATATCGCCGATGACGCAGCGCCATCTCCACGCAGTAGCTGTTTAACAGATAATGTTCGAGAAATATTTAAATAAATGTTGGAAATGTGGTCGAAATAGCGAATTATCGGGAAAAGAGTAAGAGATGCGGGACTGCAGGAGTTAATTACAAAAACGAAAAAACATGCGCGTACTCCTTAAAATGTGATTACGATTCACAAAGTAACCAGTTACTCGTAAATATATATATGTAGCGTCAACTTCAACAACTATCTAACGTCTAATATTCAAGTTATTTCGATAAATATTAAAATGATAATTGGCGCGGCTAATTGCAGGACCGAAAAAATATGCACATACCTGGCAATGCTGCAATGATCGTACGAGCGTTGCGTTTTCGATGCGCTTCAGCGAGATGCGCGGCGCGAAACGGATTTCAAACGATGGTCCGGTGTCAGCGATGTGCCGCGCAACACCGGATTGACGATCCCGCCATCGCCGTAACAGAGCGAATATCCGCGATTACGAGGAACGTCCGATGCTGTACGACATATTCGCAATTAACTTTCGCGAAACTTTCGCACGCGATCACTTCGAACGATAATTATCTCGAGGAATACGGAGCACTTGGCGATTCTGCACGATCGTCGCGGCTCGCGGCTCGTTTCGCGATTGATCACGGTTCACGATTTATTAAGAGTGTCATATTACGATTCACAAAGTAACCAGTGTCGCGCCGTTGTAGTGCCAACACTGCCAACTTTACAGTAATTATCTAATATTTAAAAATTATTTCAATAAATATTAAAATAATCGGCGTGGGTAATTACAGAATGAAATAATGCGTTATATAGTGCGACTTTCACCTACGTAAAAGTAATTTTCGAAATATTAAAAAAAATAAATAAATAAATAAAATAAATAAAATCATAGAAATACTCAAAATACAAAATTCAAAATATTTAGTAAATGTTAGTGTCAGAGACAACGAGGAAAAGCATAAAAAACATATATTCTTATTTTCATAATTATTTATTTGATTGGTGAATCGAATATTACAATACATTTTACACCAATCTCTCTATTGCGCCACAATTGGATCATATATACATTATAAAATTTAAAATTATGAAAAAATAAATAATCAATGACTATTAAGATCGACACACATGAAATGTTCAAACTGATTATGAAACTAACGACCAAATTCTAAAACTTGTATAACAAATAGATTAAGATTAGGCGGGGATGTTCTCGCTAGATGTAATGGAAGGAATATATATATCCAAATAATAATGTAATATGTTTCGAACGTAATAAATTGCGGTACAATAAATTTCTCTTCTCCTATATTCACAAATGTTATCCCGTCATTCATACATACATACATTCATACAGGCATGTATATATACGTATGTTATATGTATATTTACACATATCATTCAGCTTTTTTCTTTATTGGCTAATTCCTCTTTCAACGATTTTCTTTTTCGACCCAACATGTCGTATACGCAAGGATTTGGTTCGGTTTCTTGATCTGTGTCGGAGCTACAATCACTGTCACTGGAGTTATCATACGTTCCGAGACCAGGTAATATGCCGATACATTTGAGTCCGCTATGTTCGTTACTGACATTTACTTGATTTGGTATAGTCTTATCGTTTTGTTTATTCGACTCGGGACTAGAAAGAGAGGTATCCGCCACAGACATACCAGACGTATGTAGTTCTTTCTTTTTGCTGGTATCGATGTCATCTTCGGATGGAGATAATTTTCTTTTTATTCCTGTAAGTGCTTCTCCTGCATAAACAAGACATTAGCATAATTTACATATTATTTAGAGTACCTCTAGAACTTTTTCATCGATTTTTATTTTAAAAACTTTACCTTGTTTTTGTTTGTCAGGTCGTTTCAAGACGACGCCTGCGGGCAACTTTAACTGCGAAGTGCGGCTACTGAAAAAAATAATTAAAGTCGAATAATATTTATCATTATTAGATTATTAAATTATTAAAAAATTCATCACTAGATTTAAATTTTATTCAATATAAACAGTACCTTCCACAAGCAGTATTTTTACTGCTGACAGGCGGGTTCTTCAATTCTTGTTTTAACTTTTCATTTAATTTCTGTTCTTGAAGAGAAGCAACTGCGGCTTTAAAATCACGCATTTCTTTCTCTTCTTCAAGATTTTTTTTACGTTCTTCTTCCATCTTTTTTCTATCAACCAAGTCCAAAAACTCTACTTCATCGTCATCTAATCCCTTAATCATATTTTCTAAAAAAATATACATATGTATGTATGTATATCAAGATGTATTTTTCAGAAAAATTTTAAATTTTAATAATACATTTTAGAGTATTAAAAATGTATTAAAAATTGGAATTAAAAAAGTATTCAGACATTTCTGTAATGTCAAGATAACTTTCGATCATTTTAAATCATTAGCAAATACTAAAAACTGCCGTAGACATAAATTAGTAAAGAGCAAAGAGCGATTACTGTAACTCAATAATTTGTGATCTTCAATATTAACCCTCCGAGTAGCAACCAGGGACATTTGTGTCCATTCTAAGAAGCGCTCGTTTCTTTGTTTAAAAATCATTAAAAATAAAATACTTAGCAATTTATTGTTAACACAACAGCTATGTAGTTTTTAAGTGGAAGGGTTAAAGTTTCGGTAATTTTTGGAGATTTTTTCGAGCAGTTCGAAAGAGAAAAAAATTCGAGAAAGACACAAATGACCTGGTTGCCACTCAGAGAGTTAAAATAATAAATCAATGCGCTATATATTAGGTGCCAAATGTATACGTAATGTTCAACTCGTCACAGATTGGTGGTGATTCGAGCAAAATTAATTTCACTTTTGCACTTACTCAGTTTGTGAGCTTCTTCATATTCTATGTCCCTTTTATTTTTCTGTTCCTGTAATCTCTCGTACAAGGATCTAGGATCGTAAGGTTCCTCCGGAGCCTCTGTAAATCGTTAGACAAGACGAAATATTTATCGACCATTCCCAAACACTCGGAATCGATGGAATTTACTTTAATATATGTATATTCGCGGTACGATATGTATAACCGTCAATTGTACGTTGTATAATATGTAGAAAATACGGAACGTTAAACCTAACCTATGGGCTGATCAGCGCTCCGTACACGGTCCCATTCCTCTTGTCGCCTTTGCCGTACTTCGGCGATTTCGGCTTCCGATATAAAGCCCGAGCTCATTTTCGCTGCTTGTAAATATCGTACTTGCGAAGAACAACCTACAACGCTTGCAAATGTTTTTTGATGTTTTTCAGTCCGCCCAGAGAAACTCAACGAGGACATACGCGATCGCTGCACTTCGTTGACAGAATTATAAACTCGTCGCTT